TATTCTATTCTATTCTATTCTATTCTATTCTATTCTATTCTATTCTATTCTATTCTATTCTATTCCTATTCCTATTCCTATTCCATTCTATATTCTGGGAGTTGAAGTCTACAAATGTTAAAGTTGCCAAATCTGGAGACCCCTGCCCTGTAATACACAAAATGTGGAGAACAGAGGAGAGGCTGAGTAAAGGAATCGGAGCCAACTTAGTGGCTGAACAACAACAACCAGAACGAGGAGGAAGGAGCAGGGATGTTTTCGCACTGATGACCGTTACAGCACCCCCGCGGTCACGTGATCAAAACTTGATGCTTGGCAACTGGTTCATGTTTATGACGGTAGTAGGGTTCCCGGGGTCAACCGATCCCCCTTTGCGACCTTCTGAGAAGCCAAGTCAACGGAGAAGCCGGATCCCCTTCACAACCGTGTGACTAACTTAAGAACTGCAGTGATTGGCTTAACAATGGTAGCAAGAAAGGCTGGAAAAGTAAGACTCCCCTTGATGACTGTCTCGCTTTGCAACGGGCTCAATTCTGGTCTTCAGTCGAGGACTACCTGCAAAGTTAGCACTGGGACTTGGGGCTCGCTTTGAAGGAACCTCTCAGCTGAAGGTCCTTCAGTGGGAAACTCTGGGGGGGGCTCACTGTTTCTTGCCAAGTGGGAGGTTTGGCATCCAGAAAGAAGCATCTCTTTCCAGAGTCCTTTGTGGACAGATTGGGGAAAGAGACGTCTCCATCCTGTTAAGGTAATGAAGATTTAATAGCTGACCAGCTGCTTTAAGGCTGTAGATAAGGCCAAGATGATGAGTCAGCAGAGTACTGCCGCTTTAAGAAGCTGTCTATATAAGGGAGGCCATGTGAGGCCATCTTTCTCCTCCTGTTCTATCTCCATTGTGGTTCTCTGTGCAGAGTTGAAGATTGATTGATTGCCTGGCTTTTGCCTAACACTTGCACGCATGTATATTGCAGTCTTGTATATAAACCAGTGTTAAAAGACAAAGCCTCTGTGTCCTGTGTTTTGCTCCTGGGTTGTCTCACAATAGGACTCACGGTGTAAACACCCTGACGCTGCGGAAGACACGACTTACCCCCATGGCTGCGAAGACAATGGCGAAGTTATCCTCGTGGTAATCCACCACATCTTTCGATTTCTTCACCAGGCCAGCCTGCCTGCAGATCTGAGCTGCGATCTGGGATGAAGCGGGGGGGGGGGGAGAAGGAGGGTGAGAAGCCGAGGAAGATGGGAACGGCAGACGGTCGGGGAGTCGAGGAGGCCATTGCTCTAACCTGGGTTTAGTTCTCTACTAAAGTTCTCTACTACTATTGTAGGGTCCTTTGGTGCTCTCTGACCTGGGTTGTTCTCTTGTAGACGTTTCATTACCAAGCTAGGTAATGTCATTGGGGGAGTGGGGTTTGTGGAGGTGAGGGAGCGGGGAGGAGAAGGAGGAAGAGGAGGAGAAGAACAACTCTGGGGTCTTTGGTGTTCTCTGAGCTTTGCTGCATTCTTGCAGACATTTAGACACCCAATGAGTAACATTGTCAGCGCTAGAAAGGAGTGAAGTTTGCAACAAAGAAGGCTCTCTCGAAAGACCACGCCCAAAACTCCAGAACCAGAGCCGTCCTGCTCTGAACCAATGGGGCAAAATGGTGGGGGGAGGCTCGGGAGGGCCGTACCTCGTTGTGGGGGAGACCAGCAGCGGAGAAGATGGGGATCTTCTGTCCCCGGGCGATGCTATTCATGACGTCTATAGGGGAGAGGCCCGTCTGGATCATCTCCTCAGGGTAAATGCGTCCTTGAGGGTTGATAGGCTGCCCTGGAGAAAGAAAGAAGGGAGGGAAGGAGGGAAAGGAAGGAAGAGAGGGAAGGAAGGAGGAAAGGAAAGGGAGGGAGGAAGAGATGGAGGAGAAGGAAAGGTGGGAGGGAGAGAAGGAGGGAAAGGAAGGAAAGGAAGGGAAGGAAAGGGAAGGAGGGAGGGAGGGAGGAAAGGAGGGAAAGGAAGGGAGGGAGGGAAAGGAAGGAAGAGGGGGAATGTGGGAGGGAGGAAAGGAAGGAGGGAGGGAAGGTGGGAGGGAGAGAAGGAGAGATAGGAAGGAAAGGAGGGGGGAGAAAAAAGGAGAGAGGGAGGGGAAGGAAGGAGGGAGGGAAAGGAAGGGAGGGAGGGAGGAAAAGTAGGAAGGAGAGAAGGGAGGAAAGGAAGAGAGAAAGGGAGGGAAGGAAGGAAGAGAAGGGAGGGAGGGAGGGAAGGAGGGAAGGAGGGAGAAAAGGTAGGAGGGAGAGAAGGAGGGAAAGGAAGAGAGAAAGGGAAGGAGGGAGGGAGGGAAAGAAGGAAAGTAAGGGAGGGAGGGAGGGAAAGAAAGGAAGGAAGAGAGGGAAGGAGGGAAAGGGAGGGAAGGAGGGGGAGAGGGAAGGAAGGAATTATCCCAGTGTAAATCAGTGCTTAGTTTCTGAAGGACTAAAAACACAATTTAGTCTTTCAAAGGAACATTGCCAGGCCCACTGCTGACCACCCCACCCCCCCAGTTGGGTTCCTCTTCTTCTTAAATGCTTTTTTTTAGCACAGAAATTTGAAAATCAAGACCTGCCAGTCATTCTTTCAACCCCCGTGCTCCCTCGTTCCGCCGTCTTCGTTGTCGGGCTGCCAGACACAACCCCCACCTCGTCACTGCCACGGTTGGGCAAGAGAAGGCTTCCCAGCCGTGGTTTCACCTCCACTTGGTTTAATGCCCAAAAGCTCGGCCATGGGGAGGGGAAAAGCCCATGGGTCAACTCCCCCCCACTCAGCTTCTTCCCCGGGATGCACTGCCGGCCACAATTCACAGCACCAGCCTGCCGGCCCTGGGCCACCCTCCCGCTGCCACCCGGCACAACCGAACCAAGGGGACTCACCGTTAATGTCCAGGAAGTCCTCGGCCATCACCATGGGGCCTCTGTCGATGGGCTTAGCCGAACCGTTGAAGACTCGGCCTGCAATGAGAAGCAACTGTGGGGAGGAACCAGGGGTGGGATTCCATTTTTTTTTTTACAACCGGTTCTGTGGGCATGGCTTAGTTGGAGGGTGTGGCTCGGTGGTCATGTTATGGGCTGGGCGTGGCCAACTCAACATCACTCACATCGAGGCACGCATCTCCTCGCCTGGCCTCTCGTGACTGTGGGGAGGCTGCAACAGTCGTTAGTGTGAAAAACGGTCATAAGTCACTTTGTTCAGTGCCATTGTAACTTGGAATGGTCACTCCACACAAGCAAAGTGCCAGCAAAGGAGGGGAAAAAAACTCCAGAGAAGTTCCTGAGACAGGAAGTCTAGTCCTGTCAAGAATGTAATAAGGGTTAACGGAGAGGCAGTTTCTGTAAGCAACACCAGAATGTTTCCTTCCTGCCCTCCTTACAGGATTAGCCCAGGAATTTCTTCTAACAACCGGTTCTCTGAACTGCTTAGAATGTCAACAACCGGTTCTAGCGAATAGGTGCGAACTGGTAGAATCCCACTCCTGGGAGGAACGCCCCAGAGACCTGGGTGAAGGGCATGGGGTGCAGAAGAGACGAAGGGTCAACTGTGAAGAGCAGAGGGCCCCCACATGCTTGGAGAACCTGAATGGGTGGCCAGTGTCTTTCCAACTAAACCCAAATGAAGGCATGTCCTGCAAGAAGCAATTTGTCACTTCAAGACCTTAGGATCAGAGGTGGGATTCAGCCAGTTCAGACCAGTTCTGGAGAACCAGGAGCGGAAATTTTGAATAGTTTGGAGAACCGGCCAATCCCACCTCTGACTGGCCCCGCCCACCCCATCTCTTCTCTGCCTCCCATTGAGTCCCAGCTGATCAGCTGGGTCTCCTTTGGTTGCCCTGCACAGGAGAACGGAGCTGGAAAGCAGGTTAGTGGGGTGGGGAGGGAAGGGAAGGGATGAAGGGGGATTTTGCAGTATATCCTTCCGCTGCCACGGCCACCATGCCACACCATGCCCACCAAGCCACGCCTACAGACCAAGAAATGCTAAGCAGCGAATATGAGAGACACGGTTCAGGCGATGAGCAAGGACCACCCTCTCCTGATCCTCGAGCACGGAGAGTGAAGAGAAGGTGGGAACAGCGCAGACTCGGGAGGAGAGCAGCCTGCCCCTCTCCATAAGGGACACCTGGGGACTGAGACTTAAGGAGACGCTGTGGGGAGGGGCATTTGTCGGGAACAAACCCTGAATTCCTGGAGCGTTGCGTGCCGACATTTGAACTTTCCTGGGTTCCTTGCATTCTTGCTGGATTTCTGGATTACTGGCCGTGCTTCCTGGCTTGCTGGACTCTTCAACTTGTCCCACTGGATTTCTTGCTGTGCAGCCGTGGCGTTCCCAGTGTTGGGCTGGACTACTTGGAGCCAGAGGCTGCTTGAGGTGTGAGGGTGGGTCAGTGGTGGGATTAAAAAGTTCTGTGGGCATGGCTTGGTGGGCATGGCAAGGGAAGGATACTGCAAAATCTCCATTCTCTGCCCATCCCATTAACCTGCTTTCCAGCTCCATTCTCCTGGGCAGGGCAACCGAAGAAGACCCAGCCCATCAACTGGGACTAGGGAGGCAGAGAATAGATGGGGTTGGTGAGGCCAGTCAGAGGTGGGATTTGCCGGTTCTCCAACTACTCCAAATTTCTGGTGTGGGTGTGTTTGTCATCCTTTTGTTCTGGGACTTTCCAGAAACGTTGGAGCATTTGGGGAAATTCGGAGCAAGAAAGGGGTGATTTGAACTGCCAGCTGCCTGTGTTACCTCTGCCCTGCCCCGGGTCCTCAAATCCCTGGGGCATTTCCCTGTAACTGGAGCAACCGATCGTCATGATTCGTGGCTGGCCCTCTGTCACCTTCCCCAAAAGGTCCCACCTACCCAGCATGTCCTCGGACACCGGTGTGCGGAGAATGTCCCCGGTGAACTCGCAAGACGTCTTGTGGGCATCGATGCCAGAGGTCCCTTCAAACACCTGCAGAGGGATGGTCAGAGGCCAAGGAGCCAATTACTGGCCAATTAAGGAGGATTAGCAATGAAAAAGGCTTCACCCTCTTCCTCTCCAGGAACCCTCCCCCCTCCCTCCCTCCCTCCCTCCCCATGCCTCTCATTCAAGACCTTCTCACCACCTCCACCGTCCCGTGGGGTTGCCTGGTCCGTGTGACCCCTTGCGAGACAATTTTTACACCTCTGCCAGGGTGGGTGGGTGGGTGGAAAGGATGGGATTCTACCGGTTCAGCATGGTTCGGGAGAACCGGTAGCTCCGAAGATCAGCTGGTAGCAAACCTTTGCTCCGACGATCAGCTGTTGGGCCTGCCGATAGTCTGTGCTTTATATCCTGGTTTTCAAGCTCAGCTAATTAAACGGGGCACAACAGATTGCCAAATGCCAGCTGTTTAACGCACAGAGATTGCTGGAGAAGTTCAGTAGCAAACCCTCGGTGCGGGCGTGAAGGGCGTGCTCACTGAACCAGGTTGTTACACCGGTTGAGTCGCACCCTTGCCTCTCCCACCCCGTGTCCAGGACAGATCTGGCTGCCTCTAAGCCAGGGGTGGGATTCAGATCTTGTCTCCACATCTGGCTGACCGTTCAATCAGCTGCAATCATTTTATAGACTGCCTGGGGTTCCTTGGAAATGAACGATTTGAACCGCAAAGCGCGTGAATATTTAACGGATGACTTTGTCTTCTCCTTGCTCTCTTCCAAATCTCTCCAGGACGAGGGGCTGCTAGAACTCAGGATAAAAGCAAACATTGTGGAAGAGAGAGACAGAGAGACAGAGAGACAGACAGACAGAGAGACAGACAGGCAGAGAGAGAGAGAGAGAGAGAGAGAGGGAGAGGGAGAGAGAGAGTCTAGATGGCCCCCAGAAACAGAGGGGTTTAAGGACCACAAGCCTAAGGCCACACCTAGAGGACTGCATCTAATTTTGGTCACCATGCTATAAAAAAGATGTTGAGATGCTAGAAAGAGTACAGAGAAGAGCAACCAGGATGATTAGGGGACTGGAGACTAAAACATATGAAGAACGGTTGCAGGATCTGGGCCTGCCTCGTCTAGTGGAGAGAAGGACCAGGGGAGACATGATAGCAGTCTTCCAATATTTGAGGGGCTGCCACAGGGAGGAGGAGGAAGGGGTCAAGCTATTTCCCAAGGCACCTGAAGGCCAGACAAGGAACAATGGATGGAAACTGAACAAGGAGAGATTCAACCTGGAAATAAGGAAGAATTTTCTGACAGTGAGAACAATCAACCACAGGAACAGAAGTTGCCTTCGGAAGTTGTGAGAGCTTCATCACTTGAGACTTTTGAGAAGAGATTGGACTCCCATCTGTCAGAAATGGTGTGGGAGGGTCTCCTGCTTGGGTGAGGGGCTGGACTAGATGACCTACAAGGTCCCTTCCAACTCTGTTAATCTGTAAACCCAGTGACCCAAAACTCTCTTTCCATTCTGGTATTCAGGGTCAACTTGAATGCAGGCTGGGTGTCCATGAGGGAAGATCTGAAACGTCATAAAGGGCAGCTGCCACGGTCTGATTATGGTTCTTCCCAGTGTTGACATGTTTGTTTTGGGGGGGGGGGCTTTTGGATTTCGATAGGACCCCTGCAGGGACCTGGCTCGGAGCGGGAAGCCCAGAACAAACCGGGAGCCGCGTTGCAAACATCCTCTTTTTTTATAATCGAGCCGACAATCCTTCCCCTTGGATACCTTGGCTGAAATTTTGGGCCGGTTTCCAGAGGAGGGAGGCCACGTGTCAACTTGAGAGCCTCTAAGCCGTGTGTCTTTGGCGCTGCAATCCCGGTTTATATTTAGAGCCACGGTGCCAGCCGCCGTGCTGCTGGCTCGATCTAGCTGCCAGCTGACTGGTTGGCACCCAGGGACGTGAAAGATTAACCTGGTCTTCTTGGAACAGGCATCCTTTGCCAACCCGATGCCCTCTCCGTGCCCTGGGCTACTCTTCCTATCTTCCTTGGCCCATGGGGCCACCGGACCTCCCCTGCACGGCCAGGGAATGAAGGACAGGAGGCCAAAGAGCTTTCTGGCCATGCCAGGACCTAATGGGGACAGAGCAGAAAATCCTTCTGGCTGGGTGGAGTTGAGGAAGCGCCTGTTGCAGTTGGTTTTCTGGGATTGGCTGGGCTGAACAGGGACAAGAATACAGGATAATACAGAGTAGGAGGAAGGGGCCATGGAGGTCTTCTAGTCCAGCCTCTGGCTCAAAAGGGAGATCCTACGGCATTTCAGACAATGTCCAATCTCTTCTTTAAAACTCCCAGTGTTGGAGAATTCACAAGTTCTGGAGGGGATCAATCCTTTCCTACTGGTTAATTGTTCTTACTGTTAGGAAGTTTCTCCTTAATTCTAGGTTGGATCTCTCCTAGGAAGGAAGGAAGGAAGGAAGGAAGGAAGGAAGGAAGGAAGGAAGGAAGGAAGGAAGGAAGGAAGGAAGGAAGGAAAGAAGGGGACAAGGGAGGGAGGGAAGGAAGGAAGGATTAGGAAAGAAGGAAGAAAAGTAGGTCAGATAGGAAGGAAGGAAGGGAGGGTGGAAGGAAGGAAGGATGGAAAGAAGGAAGGAAGGAAAAAAGAAGGATCAGGAAGGAAGGAAGACTCAGGAAGGAAGGAACAAGGGAGGGAGGGAAGGAAGGATTAGGAAAGAAGGAAGGAAAGCAGGTCAGATAAGAGGGAAGGAAAGAAAGAAAGCTCCAGATGTCCCTTCCACTCACCTGGACAATGGCTTTGGAGCCGGTCACCTCCAGCACCTGCCCGCTCCGGCGGGTGCCGTTGGGAAGGGTGAAGTTGACTATCTCCGCGTACTGGGCGAACTGCGAGGGAGACACAAAAGGGCGACGTATGTCCGAGGCTGAACACTCACCAACCTCCGCTCCTCAACTCCTGGCAAAAGGTACAGGATTGCCTGCCTGCCTCTGTCTGTCTGTCTGTCTATACCAGGGGTCCCCAAACTTGGCAACTTTAAGACCTGTGGACTTCAACTCCCAGAATTCTCCAGCCAGCACAGCTGGCTGGAGAATTCTGGGAGTTGAAATCCACAAGTCTTAAAGTTGCCAAGTTTGGAGACCTTTGATTTCTACCATCTACCTATCCTTTATGTATCTATCTCTTTGTATCATCTCTTTCCTTATCTATCCTGCCTGCCTGCCTGCTCCTCCCCCCCTTCTCTCTCCTCCCCTCTCTCTTTTTTCCTTCTCATTTTAGATTCCACCACCTCTTTCTTTTTCTGTGCTCCGCTCGCAAATAAACGGTGGAAAATGCCCCCGAAACACATCCACCCTTTTTAGTTGGACAGATTTAAAATTGGGCCCTCTTTGGCCACTAGAGGCCGCCCTGTGGCCTGCTGTGCCTGACCACAGCCTTGTGATTTCGGGTTTTCGGCAAAACTCACTTAACAACCGTCTCAATAGCACACCTTTGGGGCTCCATTGTGGTCGTACGTCAAGGACTACCTGTATTGCACGAGGAAGGGGGAGACGGGGGGGGAATCGGCCGTCACCTACCTTCACGTTGTCCAGGACTACCAGGGGTCCGTTCACCCCACACACAGTCCGGTACGCTGTGGAGAAAGGCAAGAGAATACAAAACAATAGGGTCAGAAGGGACCTTAGAGCTCTTCTAGTCCAACCCTCGGCTAGAGAAAACCGGAGGGAATTATGGGTTGGCAGAGACAAAATTGTGATGGAAAACAACAACCAGTTCTCAGCTGGAAAAAAAAACAAATCTGCATATTGAGTTATTTACGGGCTTCCTGTATTTAAGTAATTGAGCTTAAAATGGACACCTAGCATCAAAAGCGTCATCACAAAAGCACAACCAAGAACGTTGTTTTGGCACCAACTCAGGAAGCTCAAACTGCCCAAGGAGCTGCTGATCCAGTTCTGCAGAGGAATGACTGTGTCTGTCATCTGCACCTCTATAACTGTCTGGTTTGGTTCTGTAACCCAACAGGACAGACACAGACTTCAAAGAGTAATTAGAATTGCAGAAAAAACAATTGCTACCAACCTGCCTTTCATGGAGGACCTGTATCCTGCACGAGTCAAAAAGAGGGCTGTGAAAATATTTACAGACCCCTCATATCCTGGACATAAACTGTTTCAACTCCTACCCTCAAAACGACGCTATAGAGCCCTGCACACCAGAACAACTAGACACAAGGACAGTTTTTTCTCAAACACCATCACTCTGCTAAACAACTAATTCCCTCAACACTTTACAAAGTCTTCACTACTATTACTATTAATCTTCTCATCACTCCTTATCACCCATCCCCTCCCACTTGTGACTGTATGACTGTAACTTTGTCGCTTGTATCCTTACGATTTATATCGACTGTTTCCTAGTATGATTTGATTGCTTATTGTACCCTATGATTATTATTGTTGTACCTGATGATTCTTGACTCTTGATGAATGTCTCTTTTCTTTTATGTACACTGACAGCATTTGCACCAAGACAAATTCCTTGTGTGTCCAACCATACTTGGCCGATAAAGAATTCTGTTCTGTTTTGTTCTATTCTATTCTGTTCTATTCTATTTGGGGGATCTTCTTCTACGTCAGTGCTTAAAACAAGAAAATTGGGGAAAATATTGGGCTTTTTAAAAAAAGCCATCGATAGAAGGCGGCCAATTGTTTTCCTCCTGTCTTTTTTCCATCTTTCCTTCATTCTTCCTTTCTCTAATCTCTTTCGGCAAAGCTTTTCGCTAGCTTGGGAAAGCCACCAGGATGGAAAGAGGCCAGAATGCTACAAACTTGTTTTGTGAAAGGAACAACAAGCTTCACACTAGACTAGCCATCTGTGCAATTTGGAGACTGCAGTGAGGTCAACAGATTGTGTCATGTCTTCTATTTTATTGATTGATTGATTGATTGACTAACTGACTGATTGATTAGCACTTAGACCACGTCAAAGTGCAGAGTTGAGAAACAAATTATTACTAAAATCTGATAAAAGTAATTTAAAATGGAATTGGATAAAATACAATTTAAAATGAAGGTGAAATAAAATACGATTTAAAATGAAATGGGAATAGAATAGGATAGAATAGAACAGAATAGAATAGAATTCTTTATTGGCCAAGTGTGATTGGATACACAAGGAATTTATCTTGGTGAAAATGCTGTCAGTGTACATAAAAAGAAAAGATACATTCATCAAGAGTCAAAAATCATTAGGTCCCACACTTAATGATAGCCATAGGGTACAATAAGCAATCAAATCATACTAGGAAACAGTCAATATAAGTCATAACGAAACAAGTGACAAAGTTACAGTCATACAGTCACAAGTGGGAGGGGATGGATGACAAGGAGTGATGAGAAGATTAATAGTAATAGTAGTACAGACTTTGTAAATAGTTGGACAGTGTTGACGGAATTATTAGTTTAGCAGAATGATGGCATTTGGGAAAAAAACTCCCCCTGTGTCTAGTTGTTCTGGTGTGCACTGCTCTATAGTGTCGTTTTGAGGGTAGTAGTTGGAACAATTTATGCCCAGGATGTGAGGGGTCTGTAGATATTTTCACAGCCCTCCTGTTGATTCGTGCAGTATACAGTTTTAAATACAGTCTAAAGTGAAATTGGAATAAAATACAATAATTTGAGATAGAGATAAAAATGTGATACAAATTTTATTTCGGCAACAGCCCTGCAATCTACCCCAATCAGACCCACGTACGCTGATCTCAACCGAACCATTTTGCTCAAGTACTGTGCTGGGTTAAATGTTATTTTCAGATTCTGGCCGCACATAAGGTAAGTGGTTTTGCTATGGGAATCCCAATGGGTCATTCGTTAGGTCTATAGACGGAGGTACCTGCCTCTCACCTTCTTATACAGGCAACCATCAAATAGGATGTAAACCGGGTCTTCTACCTCTGTCACTCCACAAATGCACTGCAGCATATAGAATGGAATCTCCTACATCTGGCCATTGGGTCAAGCTGTTCGAATCTCGCTGGCATAAATATCTCCCTAGGAAGTTTTGGCAGTTGTAACTTCAAAGAGATGTCTATTTGAAAAGTACGTTTGTATTTTTTTTTAGAATTAGAGTAACAGAGTTGGAAGGGACCTTGGAGGTCTTCTAGTCCAACCCCCTGGCTAGGCAGGAAACCCTACACCACTTCAGACAAATGGTTATTCAACCTCTTCTTAAAAACTTCCAGTGTTGGAGCATTCACAACTTCTGGTGGCAAACTGTTCCACTGATCAATTGTTCTAACTGTCAGGAAATTTCTCCTTCGTTCTAAGTTGCTTCTCTCCTTGATTAGTTTCCAACCATTGTTTCTTGTCCTGCCTTCTGGTGTTTTGGAGAATAGCTTGACTCCCTCTTCTTTGGGGCAGCCCCTGAGATATTGGAAGACTGCTATCATGTTCCCCCTATAGTCCTTCTTTTCATTAGACTAGGCATACCCCAAATCCTGCAACCGTTCTTCATATGTTTTAGCCTCCAGTCCCCTAATCCTTTTGGTTCCTCTTCTCTGCACTCTTTCTAGAGTCACCACATCTTTTTTATATTGTAGCGATGACCAACACTGAATGCAGTATTCCAAGTGTGGCCTTACCAAGGCCTTATAAAGTGGTACTAACACTTTACGTGAACTGTTGATGCAGCCTAGAACTGTGTTGGCTTTTTTGGCAAGCTGCTGCACGGTGCTCAGCTCACGTCTTCTATTTACGTTCTTCTTGGGATCCAGTTTTGCTCACCATGTTATAAAAAAGATGTTGAGACTCTAGAAAAAGTACAGAGAAGAGCAACCAGGATGATGAGGGGACTGGAGACTAAAACATACGATGAATGGTTGCAGGAACTGGGCCTGGCTAGTCCAGGGAAGAGAAGGACCAGGGGAAACAGGAGAGCATCTTCGAATATTTGAGGGGCTGCCACAGAGAGGAGGAAGGGGTCAGGATATTTTTTAAAGTGCCTGAAGGCCAGACAAGGAACAATGGACGGAAACTGAACAAGGAGAGATTTAACCTGGAAATAAGGAGGAACTTTCTGACAGGGAGAACAATCAACTAATGGAAGAGAAGTGGCCTTTGGAAGCTGTGGGAGCTTCATCACTCGAGACTTTCAAGAAGAGACTGGACTGCTATTTGTCAGAAATGGTGTAGGGTCTCCTGCTTGGGCGGGGGGTTGGACTAGATGTCCTACAAGGTCCCTTCCAACTCTGATCATCTGTTATCTGTTATCTTCCACCAACATCTCAGAAGGTTTTGCTTCTTGTTCTTTGCAACCAGCTGTTGAGCTGGCTTCCCTTCTGCTAAAATAGACAATCTTCCATGGTTTCCACCGGGTTTAACCTTCCGGCTTTCTTCGGCTTAGCGAGTATCCCCATCCGAAGGTCGTAGGGCAAACGCTCCATAGGTAGCCTTCTGCGGCTTCCCCAAGAGGCCTTCCTTCACGGGCCACCTCCTCCTCTCCCCTCCCTCCAGCCTGGTTCCCATCAACTCCATGAGGCCTGACATCCACAGCCACCATTTCTGTAAAGGTTGTGACCTGCCCAGTAAGCTCCACCAAGCCTGGCCTCCTCGGCAGACACATCTGTGCTGTGGGGGCCTCTCTAGAGGGCAGAGGGCAGGAAGACCAGGCCTCCTCTGCTGTCCTAAATACTCAGCGTCTGGTTTGTGTTCCTGCAGCGCCTGGAAGAGCGATTTCTCTCGATGTCCCCGTTGCAAAAATAAAATAAAAAAATAAAATAAAGCAGCCATGTTCTAACACCAGGGCAATCCTCTTCGGGGAAGCCACCAGAGATCCACCAAGTTTCTTCTCCAGGTCTAACCCAACTGGTCACCTTCTCAGGCTTTCCTTCTCAGGCCACCGCTCGCTCGCTCCCTTGCTTCCTCCGTTTGGCCAAAGGGACTCAAGTATAATTAAGGCTCGGATTAGCATTCCTGCTCCCCCCCCCCCCCCCAAACGCCCCGGTGGGCACACAGCTGCGCTGGGAATTTTGGAGACATCATTCGCCTTGACAGCCAAGTGAGACTGGGTGAAAGGTTGCCTTCGCACCGTTGCAAAATGTCCTGGCTGGGGTTTTGCTGGACCCTCGGTGGAGAAGAAGCCCAGCCATGGTGGAAAGTAGGTAGAGGGCCTTGGACCATCCTAAAGAGCTCAAGGGGCCAAAGCCCAAAGCCCTGAGAGTAGATAGAGGGGTGCAAAGCCCTAGGAATCGGTGGCCGGCCAGATCCAAAGATGCAAGTTTAGAGATATCCTGTCACCTGGGAGATATTTCCTTTCCTTCCTTTCCTTCCTTTCCTTCCTTCCTGGTGATAGGTAGGTAGGTCCATAGATGTGGATGGACAGATAGATAGACAATAGTGATAATGATGGATGGATGGATGGATGGATAGATAGAAAGAGGAGATTCACTAAGATAGATAGGATAGATAGATAGATAGATAGATAGATAGATAGATAGATAGATAGAT